GGGCTGTGGGGAAGCTGACTGCCTTTACCATGGTAATCTAACCTTTTCCAGTCACCATCTTTCCTTTTACCCGCCTGACTCCTAGCCTTGTCCATTCCTGCTCATCTTTATTAAGTACCTAAAATGCTAATTAAGGTTAAAATATTTGCACACACCATCCCCTCTGATTACCAGGCAGTCCTGAAGGGTCCATGAGGAGGGGAAATACCTATCCTGTCACCCACCTCCTCCCCATGTCTCTGACTTACTAAGAGATGTAAGGGCATATCCTGTTTTAAGAAGTAATGATGTTGAGATCCAACTATATTTTTCTATATGATTTGTTGTTGCTGTTGTTGTTGTGTGCTTTTGAGTCAGTTCCAGCTCATAGCAACCCTATGTAATAGAGAACTGCCTCATAAGGTTTCCTTTTTTTTTACAAGAGCTGATCACCAGGTCTTTTCTCCCATGGAGTGGCTGATGGGTTAGAACCATTGACTTTCCACTTGATAGCCGTATGCTTAACCATTCTACCAACAGGGCTCCTTACATAGTTCACAAATATCCCAATATTATTTGTTGACTGGTAGTCACCAATTCCCCACAAATTTGAAATGCCACCTCTATCATGTGCCAAATTCCCAGATTTTTTTCATGAACCCATTGTTTCACTAATCATCTCAATTCATGACCCAGGCCCAACCTTTGAGTTATTGCAACTTTGCAGTATGTTCTAATACATCATATGGCTAGTTCATTCTCATTCTTTTTCACAAACTTTCTAGTTGTTTGTGCATGTTCCCTCTCCCTGCCACTCCCCAAAATAAAACCCTGTTGATATTTTTATCAGGACTGTGTTAAAATTATTTATTAATTTAGGAAGAAGTAATACCTTTATAATGTTAAGCTTTCCTATCCACTAATTCAGGTTTCCTTCTCTCTCTCTGAACCATTTTAAAGTTGTCTTCATGTAGAAGAAATTTGTTAAGTTTAATGAATATTTATGAGTTTTGTGGCTTTTATAAATGAAATTACTTCTTTTCTATTTTCTAACTTGGCATTGTTTATAAGAACTATTGGTAGGAAAGCTATAAATTTTTACCCAACCCATTTAGTGAATTCATTCTCACTTTGTAGTATGTTTTAAGTCACTTATGTCATCTGCAGATATCAGTTGTTACTTAATGCATGGCAAAGAAAAGATTGCATTATCCAACAGTCACTTCATCTTAGACATGGCCTTAGGCATCCATGGACACCTGGAGTAATGGTACTCACATCTGTACATTAATTTTTAAAATATTTTTTTTAGCTGTGAAATATGTCAAATATAGAAAGTTGTCAGAAACTAACATATTGTTGTCCAGATTTAGCACATACTAACTTTTGCCATGGTGGTATCAGGTCTCTCCTTTTTAAACAAAAAAGATATATAATACTGCAGGTATACCTCAGGCCCTCCACCTTCATCTCTTCCTCCTCATCATCCTTCCCAAAGTAACTACTATGCTGCAGTAGGTGTCTGCCATTCCTGGGCCTACTGTTACGTATTCATAGTTTTTTTTTTTTTCAATTAATTGTAGTAAAACGTATATAGGAAACATGCCATTTAACCATTTTTGTGTGTATAATTCACTGACATTAATTACATTTTCCATATTATACAACTATCACTACTATCCATTTCTAAATCTTTTCATCACCCTTAACAGAAACTCAGTACCCCTTAAGTAATAACTCCCTAGTTACGAAGTTTTGTATTTTAAAAATGCACGTATACTGTGTAGTTTTAAAATGTTTCTTGATGTAAAAGTAGTACATATATGCCCATCACCAAAAGTCCAACCTTTATAGAAATTTATGGGACAGAGAGTTAAAGTGACCTTTTAGAAGAAACCACTATTTGCATTAAGATATGTCATTTTTCTACCCACACTATTAGGTGCACATAGTAAAATTAAACACTGTCTAAGCTACCTAAAAAAGAATAATTTCCAGAGGGAAAAATAGTGAAGATATAAGTTTCCTATCATACCCTGTTCTTTACTAATAGTTCTTTATTGTGTTTTTTTGTTGTTGTTGTTGTTGTTGTTGTTGTAAAAAAAATCTCAAGAAAAGTTATGGGACTACAAGTGGGTTTCAACTGGGAGAACTATCATTGTTTCTACCACAGAGCAACAACACATATAGACTTGATTGCTGCCTCTGATTGGAGCCACTACACACACAAGTCAGACAGCCTTGATGAGCAGCTGGTAAACTTGGAGCATATATAAGACAATCAGAGGAAGTCTACATATAAACCTCTCCATGCGAGGAAAGGTGGTTTTTCCATTTGCCTTTTTCTGAGCAATTTAACTTCCTAATTACATGATCCAAATTGTTTCAGAGACTATGTAAACCATATGTTTGTTAAATGATAGAGACAAACATGTGGAAGTCTGATTACCATCAACTTCCCTCAGGAAAGGGGTTTCTTTCCAAAGCAGCATAGCCAGCTTTACAGTTATTGGATGTTGAGTGCGTAAGCAGAGAGGGAAATAGAGTTGTAAACAGCTGCATCTGGCTATAAATTCTCCTCTCCTCCATCTTAGGCTCAACTACATATTTTGTATGTTCTGGGTGTCTCTGTGCTAGTCTGAATGAGGTCTGACAAGCTCATTGGAGATGATCTTGCTACGTGAACTTTCAGTTAATTACCTTAGCAGATTGTTACCTTAGCAACAAATACTTTTGATCAGAAAGGCAATATTTTGCTTTTATAGATGATAATTGGGTTTCCTGATTTTGAGGGAAGAATCTATCAGAATAAATTTTAGGAAGAATTATAAAGGTTTTCAACCAAAGCTGGGAGGAGGTGGTTGACAAGCAGAAGTCAACACTGAATGAAAGAAAAGTTCAAGGAATTATGGAGAAAGTAGCATATTCTGAAATTTCTAGCACCTTTAATTGGGTACAAGAATTTCACATTTCTCTTAGCTCCCCTATACACTTCCATGTATTTTTGTTAAATAGGTATTGGGTGTTGTTCCTACAATATATTAGAATTTATAGCATATTCACCCATTTACTCAATGATTATTTATTGAGCTCTCCCATGTGTAGTTGGAAGGAGGCAGTAAATGCCAGTCACGTATGACCAAGGAGTTGAATGTGTATGCAAGCAGTGATTATACCCAACCAAAAAAAAAAAACCAAACTCACTGCTGTCAAGTCAGATCCAAATCATAGCGACCCCTCCTTGGGTTTCCAACTAGGTACCAAGAAATCTGAGTTGAGTAATTAATATTCATGGAAGAAATGCCATGAGGAGCATAGAGTTGGTGGATCATGGGAAATGGTGGGCTAAAGAATTGTTGGAGTTAGAGACTCATAAGGGGATGGTTAGAGGGTACTGTGTTTGACATTGGGATTATGAGACTGCTGTAGTTGATGGTAATGACAAGGCCTGGCTAGTGTATGATGATGGCTGAGTGGCTAAAGTAAAGCAGAGGACAAGATTGCTGGAGAAGAGGAAATCAAGAAACTGGGAGACCAGGGTACTGGAAGTATCTGCTATGTGGAAACTGCGCCCATCAAGAATTATGAAAGAGGTAGTATTGGTGGGCTGCAGTGAGCCAGAAACTAATTTCTTGAAGGAGGATGGGGAGTGATCCAGGGGTGTAGAGATGACAGTGATTATGAAATAGAGCCTAAGCTTCAACGCTGAGGGCTCTTTGGAACAATGGTCTAAAGTCAGCGGTGAAGAGGAGGCAGGACCCATAGCCTGTCATCCACCAGGCAGAGTGCCTTCAGAGGAAGCAGCATCTTCTGGGGAGGGCCAGAATGGAAAGGGAGTGTTCAGAGTACAGACTGAGAAGTTAGGGGGTTTTACTACAGTCTGGAAGATGGGCCCAGATTAGGGGTATACACAGTGCTGTGGGGATGATAGTGTAGGGGAATGAAGGATACTGGAGGTCTTGGGCATAAGCAGAGTCCCTGGGAGGTGAAAACAGTTAATGCACTCAACTACTAATCAGAAGATTGGAGGTTCACATCCACCCAGAAGGGCCTCGGAAGAAAGACCTGGTGATCAGCTTCCGAAAGAGCAACCATTGAAAACTCTACACAGTTCTACTCTGACACACGTGGGTTCTCCATAAGTCAGAATCAGTTTGATGGTGAGAATTTTTTGGGGGGGAGGGGTAGTATAAATAGAGATAAGAGAGGATGATGAGGTTGGTCTTGGTTTCTGAAGTAGGTAATGAGGCTGTGAGTATTGGACAGAGGGATGAGTTAGGCATCTTGCCAGAAGCAAGCAGACCTCTGGGACTTTTCTGTCCTGCACATGGTGGTTTGGAGGCTGCGATTGAGGCGTCTTTACTCAGAGTATGTGCAACTTTGGGGCTCCCATTTCATCCTGCGAATGGAGGTCTAAACAGCTGTGGGAGCATTACCAAGATGCATACAAGTCTCACTTGTCATAAAAGTTCCGGGATAACTTAAAATCAAACCTAGAGGGTTTTAAATTTTTTTAAAAACATTGCTTTAAAAAAAAAAAAACAACTAAGATGCAATTTAGTACATTACAGAAAAATAGTAATGAGCAGGTTTAATTTGTGAGGCTTTCTATTGATTGAAGGGACCCTAGCTGCACCATGGGTAAGTGCTCAGCTGCTGACTGAGAGGCTGGCAGTTCAAACCCATGAGCCAGTCTGTGGGAGAAAGATGTGGAAGTCAGCTTCCATAATGATTACAACCTTGGAAACCCTGTGAGTCAGTTCTACTCTGTCCTATAGTGTTGCTGTTGGAATCAACTGCATGGCTATGGGTTTGGTTTGGTTTTATATTAATTCATAATCAGTGGTTATAATTCATATTTTGGTTCATATTTTAAAATAAATGATTCTCTCCCTCTTTGCACTTCCTGCCCTCACCCCACCACTACTACCACTTTCCCTGAAAATGTGACTTGAAAACTGACAGTGTCACAGCATTATCTACTGAGTAACTGACATTTTGTTTCCCTTCTTTCCTTATAGTGAAGAAAGTTACAACGTCAATGATTATTCTTTAAGGGATCAGCTATTGGTGGAATCTTGTGACAATGAAGAGATTAATTCTTCTCCAGGGAAGAACAGTTCCACAATGCTTTATTCAAGACAGAGCTCTGCCAGTCACCTCTTTACTCTGACAGTCCTTAGTAACCATGCAAACGAGAAAGTGGAAATGCTGCTAGGGGCTGAGACACAGTGAGTATGTGAAGGGAGAGGGTTCCCGAATATCTGGTATCATTTTTCCCCAGTAACTGCCCTTGGTCTACAGTGTCACTAGCAACAGAAAAAACAACAAACCCATTGCTGTCAAGTCCATTCTGACTCAGTGATCCCTGTTACAGATTAGAACTGGTTCATAGAGTTTTCTTGGCTATAATCTTTATGGAAGCAGAATGTCAGGCCTTTCTTTTGTGCAGTCACTGGGTATTCCAGTTACCTAGTGCTGCTCTGACAAGAATATACCACAAATGGGATGGCCTTAACAAACAGGAGTTTATTCTCCTACAGTTCGGAGGCTTTAAGTCTGAGTTCAAAATGCCAGACTTTAGGGGCTGAGGTGAAAGCCCCTCAGCCTTGGGCTTCAGCTCTGCCTTCTGCTCCCAGCTCACTGGAGCTAGAGGCTTTTCTTCACTCAGTTCCTGGCTGCTGAGACCTACAAGCCCAAGGTTGACAAGTAAAACGGCATAGTTCTGGTGTTACCAAACCACCCAGCAGACCATTAATTCAAATCCATTGAAAGTCCCAAGGTCAGCAGAGCATGGCAGGGTGCTGAACAACAACACAGCTATACGCAGGGTTCAAGCGTGCCATAAGCTAGATACCATTCCCCAAGACTTCCTTATATGCAGGAAGCCAGCCACATCCTAGGGCAGCTACTCAGCTGCTCACAGTAGATTCCACCATGGAGTTGATTACCAGTCTCATGATAGGGAATACTATATCCAGCTGCCCAGCCACTCAACCAGGCCCAGCCAAGTTGTCATGCAAACTTAACTAACACACAGGATGAGTTTGAACCTACCAGCCTTTCAGTCAGTAAACCAAAAAACTAAACCTATTGGTCATTGAGTTGATTCTGACTCATGGCAATGTCCTATGATATAGAGTAGAAATGCTCTGTAGCGTTTTCTTGGCCACAATCTTTATGGAAACAGCTTGCCAAGGCCTTTAGTCATTGTCCTGCTAGGTAGGTTCAAACCACCAACCTTTAGGTAAGTAGCCAGGCACAAACCATTTGTGCCACCCATGTACCTATAACAACTGTAGCTACTATTTACTTATTGAGTGCCTTCTGTGTGCCAAGCACATGGTCTGGATGCTTCGTAGAGATGCTGTTTTTCTCATCATGATCTTCTCAGTGTCTTTGAGGCATGGGAGTTGTAATTTTTGTCCCTATAAGCCCTGGTGTGAGGAGCCCTGGTAACAGAGTGGTTAAGCTCTTGGGTGCTAACAAAAAATTCCAAAATCCCAGCCGTGCTGTAGGTGACAGATGTAACAGTCTGCTTCCATGAAAGTTACAGCCTTGGAAACTCTGTAGGGCAGTTCTGCTCTATCCTATAGGGTTGCTGTGAGTCAGAATTGGCTTGACAGCAATGAGTTAAGTTCTGGTAGGTGCATTGTGCTTCCAATGGTGTGGTTTTTATTTTTATAGAGTAGTTTAAAAATCATTTCACTTTGATCATTGACAAAAATATGACCCCCAAGGCTTAGGGAATATAACTCAACTGGTAGTTTGAATCCAGACTATACATTTTCTTGTTGTTGTTGTTGTTGTTATGTACTGTCAAGCCGGACTTGACTCATAGCGACCCCTCCTTGGGTTTCCAAGGCAGTATCACTACGGAAGTAGATTGCCCCATCTTCCTTCCGAGGAGTGGCTGGTGGGTTTGAA